AAGGGAAAACAGAAGTTTTCCTTTAGAGGACATAGCATGAATAACTTTTATCTTACATTAGGCTACAACTGCAAAGGTAATCCATTAATTATTTCAGTTGGGAGGAAGCATGAATTTAATTTGTCCAGACAATCCCTCTGCTCCCAAACTGCCCATCTATCCTTGTCTTATTTGTACTGCATTTTGTGTTTGTCAGTGAACTGCCACAACCAACCGAACCATTCTCACTAGCCTGTCGCAGGGATTAACTGTAGCATAACTCACATGAATTCCTCTTTATTTTCTCTTTTACGAGTATTTTCAAATGTCATATTCACTGAATCTGAATTCTTCTGCTGGAAATTCAACTGTGAGCAGCTCAGGCCTTCGTTTCTACAGGCATTCTCCACGATGTGTTTGTGAATTTACTCCAACATTTAAACATTCTTAGAAGCTGTTCATAATATGCAGGTCTGTTTCAGGATACAAGTGTTTGTTCTTTTCACTCTGGGACTCCAACCACAAATAATCAAGACAACTCAATCTGTTCCAGTCTTTATCTTTAAAAACAAGCAACCAAACTCAGGAAAATTTACATGATCAACTCTCCTTTCAATTTACATTTACTATCCCAATTTTAGCTGAACATATGTTACCCAAAATCATTTAAAGCAAAAGACATCCAAGTCTAAGACATCCAAGACATGCGTTTTCTATCCTGATTCTGCATGTAGTTTTCTTTCCTCCTTTTTAAGCCCCAAATCAACCTTCAAGAATGACGTTTCAGTATTCAAACCACTGCAATGTCCTATCTTTACAGGATATTCAGAAAGCCTTTCTGATAAAGAACGACAGCAATTGTCCTGATTTTTCACAGGACTTTATGGTTGTGGGTTTTCTGTTTCTAAGATAAACCACCTGCAGTACAAACATAAGGCATGACTAATCACAGCTCAATTTTAATTGAGCTACTGTCTGTTCGTAACATAGGAAATGAAGGCAAAAAGCAATGCAGCAAATCTGGTAACTGGCTGCAGCGGAGAACATTTGGTTGCAATTTCTTACATTCTGATGGCTTCATTTAATACAAATTCCAAGCACATACACAGGCCCATCTTTGTTGGGAACAGAACTAGTCAGATCATAATTAAAATATTCATTTAAACATATAGCATTTAGACTTTCAGTACATGGGATGTCACGCTTAGAACAATTACAGGTGTCTTTGAAGCACAACTGAGGGACAAACTTGGTGTAAATATCTCCTCTCCTCTCCCCGGAGTAAAACTTTTCAGTCATAGGGGATAAAAACATTTCTTTCTTACCAACTTTTGCTTACAGATAAAAAATTACGTCCATCCAGAATATATACGGCACATTTCAATAAGCTTATTTTTTCAGTATGAAATAACATCTTCACAAAGATGACTGAGCAAAGTCATCTTGAAATGATCATCTGAAAATAACTATTACCTGTAGAAAAAGCAGGAATAATATATGGGATATTAAACTTAGAATTTGTGCCACTTTTTAAAAATGATATTTCACATAATCAAAATGTGAAGCTACAAGATATTAAACTGAAAAATATCTCTGAAACATTCAAAAAATAAAATGCTAGCAGTGCATAATGTACAAATAAATGAAGCAGCAAACAAGAAGCCTGCTGAGATGAAGGAAATTTGGTATTCATAAAGATCCTATTCAATTTCCCAAACTACTTTTGTCTACCCTACCTATATTCACACCATGTTCTCAAATGCTGTCGGATTTACTAGCAGAGTATCTAAAGAAACATCATTTGGACACAAAAACATGAAGGTTATCTTTTTTAACCAATGTTGCTTCGATGACTTCATATCTTTCTTATAACGTGATCAAATAACACAGAAAAACAGAATGTATACATGGCTAATTTTTTTCAAGTCATGTTATGTACATTTTATTGCCAGTATATGCACAATGGTAAGCAGAGAACTATAAATACACAATGTAATTAAATGGTAGAAAACAACAAGAATGTTACACGTAACAAAGGAAAGAAAGAGGAGATACTATTTTCCTGACGTAGCTGTTAAGAAGGGCTAGTGACAGGTTATGACAGCCTTGATTTGAAGTCTTTACATATATTTCTACAACTTTTCCTCCAAATAAATCTCTGTAACGGCATTGCTTCCTTAACAACAACATCTCAGCTTTACTCTGATTCACTTCAAACTAAAGTGAAAACAACCTTTCATGTAACTACAAGCATCTGACAGTTTTCCATTCAGTTTTGGTTTTCAGGGTACTTAGCAAGCAAAGTGTATAAGCGGCTCTTGCAATATTTGGCTGTGTGTTGAAGAACAGTTTTCAGTATGCAGTAAGTGATAATTTGGGAAAAACAAAGACTTTGCAGATAGTTCTTCCACCGGGTGCTACATGCAGCAGCTCAGCCAAAAATTAGTCACCCTGAAGAGGTAGAGAGAATTTTAGCCTAGCGTTGATCATCATCCTTGGCACTACAATTTTCTCTCTTATCAGGATATATTCCTACAACTAGACAACACCACAATCAAAGGGAAAGAAAAGCTAGGGAAGAAGAGTTTCCATCATTTCTGGGAAGGGTGCTGCTTATCCCAGTTCTCAGTTAACTAACTTGTTGCTTATATCAAAGACATAAAAAGAAAAGGAAAAAATAAAAAAGAAGAAAATAAAAAAGAAGAAAAAAATAAAAAAGATGAGAACGTTTAGGGACACATTTAGTTGACCTGTTTTCTCTTTCCATTATCAAGTTCATAAATACAAAGAACCATTATTCACAATAAACTAACTCTTTTTCAAAAATGGAAAAACAAACCCTGGAAACATTTCCACACCTTAATCCAGATGGGTCTTGAGGATGCTATTCAAGAAAACCATGCAAACATTCGGTGCAGCTTTCCCAACTCATCCAAAATATATAATTTTTTAAATTAGAAGGTGGCAAGATCGATAGCATTTGTGACTATTCCCTCCCCCCCAATAAAATTCAATGCAGAAAATCTTGGTGCTTTTAGGAAGATAACGAATAAATAGTTTTCTGCACTGTTGTCATAAAATCCCATGTGAGTTACAATACAAGACTACTGGTTCCAGCAATTAGGTTGAGAGGAAACATTCTAGTGATAAATACATACTGAGCATGCTTGGGCAGAGCACTCCATTCTGAAGCATCCTGCTTGAAGAAGGAAAGGTGGCAAGGATGGTTCACGTCCATCAAGTGACCATTAAGTCTGCTGCTAAAAGCAGACTGCCACTCTGTCACCAGGTCGGCAGGGCTGTCTCCCACACCAAGAGGCACTGGTGGCACCAGTCCTCTGCTGTGCACACAAAATTCTTATTTATGCAACAAACATACAACCAATGAACAATATCACTTGTACAGAACTGGATCGATCCAGCTTTTTATAGGCATACTTCTCAATCTCCAGAATATCCCAAACAAGCTGTAAATAAGATGATGAACCACCAACAGTGACTGAGTCTCACTGCAGTCCAGACTAGTTTGGCCTAGTTTCACATCACTTCTTGTTTCTAGCGAAGGACACAATACTCAAACAAAATAGCAATAAAAACAGTGTTATCTGCAGTTGAAAAAAAGCAACAGAATTTTATATTTTAACTTCTGAAGCTTAAAGCATACCTGTATAATTAGCATTAAAAAAACCCTTTTTTTAATACAATAACACTGGCAAAAGTTAATGGGAAGACACAGAGGATCGTAACAGGATATCTGATGAATTAGATTATTTTTAAATTTTATTCTGCTTTGACCAACTGATGTTAATACTGCTTTTCCTTAGATTTGGAATAATTCTATTGCAACAGTCACATGCAGGCTGAAGACAGCCGTCGGTTAAGGAAAAAAAAAAAAAAGAAAAGAAAAGGAAAAAAGAAAAAGAAACCAGGGTTCCAAAAGTTGTGTGTAAGAATTTTCCTTTCACTTGATGAGGGCTTTGCCCTTGCTTCAGGAGAGCTGGTTAATTCTTGTCAGCTTCATTAGCTTTGTCCAGACATATCTGCTGTCGTATCCCCTGGTCCAGAGCCTGTTTGTGCACGCTTGATGTAAAGGTTCAATAACTTCATCTGCAAAGCCAGGAATTAATTCTGTTCAGTATTTACACACTGTACACTCTACAGAAATGATACATTGAATTCTTCTCTTAATTCTTCTCTGAAAAGAATTCTTCTCTTAAAAGCAAAACTGTATTTTACACCATTAAGTGAAAGGTAACACACTTGCTAATATCTAACACAGCAAATCTAAGGATGTGAAGAAGAAATCAACCTATGGTAGCTACACTAAGACAGATACTTTTCCCCACATTACTGTGCTGCTCTGATTAAGGCAGGTTACTGGTTTTTTGTTTTTTTTTTTAATTTTTATTTTGTCTGTTTCTTTCTCTTAAGTGAATGTTGTGGTTTTAAGCCTCTACTTACAGGCAGATTGATTCCAGCACCTACCAAAGCTTCCAGTGCTGTCTACAGTCATATTCAATGCTATCACTGCCAGACTATTTTTAAGATGTGTTTTATTGAAATGTATACAATATTAATTGTCTTGCTTTAGCCCCATGGACAAATTCATAACATACATCTATTTGAACGTAAAAAAACAGTACATAAGAGGTTTCCTAACCAAAAAAGGAACACAAGGTTCTTCCTCACCAAATCAGAGGTTCTGAAAGGACAGATTAAAGCAAAAAACAAACAAACAAACAAAAAAAAACACACAACAACAAAGGAGACATACATAACATAACATAAACATAAACTATGTTACATAATAACTGCTTTTCAGTCAGCACTGCATGAAATACGAGGCAAGATATGCAGGTAGAAAAAGCCATGCTGAATGTAGCTACTACCACTGTTTCAGAATAAAAAGTCTGACAGTGTACTCAGGTAAAAATTGTTCTGTTTTTTTTTCAGCCACTGACCACATACAATTAAATAAATCTACTGTAAAGCAACAAGAAGCACAACTTCTTATTTTTCAGGTTGCTGAAGTTTCGTGCATGTGCCTGCAGACCTATGGATTTTCAGTTCTGAACCTTTGATATCAAAGTTACATCAACCCTCTGAGTGTTTCAGTATCCCTGGCTATCTCCATTCAGATACATACTTTTATGTATAAACTTCTTGGTAACTGCAACCACAAAACAAACGTATACAAGTAATTATGAACCAAAACTTCTTAAATGTCATTTTTTACTTACTTTACTGCCAGTGAGTTGACTGAGATGTGGTTTTAGTTCATCACCAATTACTGCATGAATGGCTACAAGGCAGAAAACACATGCCTTACGAACACTGCTCTCCGAATTATCATAACCCTAGAAAGCAATAAAATTAACATTAATTGCTTATCAGTTAATGATTAAAAGCCTCAGAAAACTATTCAGTACTACTTATAATAAATACATTAAAATCTACTTTAAGTGAATGCTAAGCATTCCAAGAAAAAAAAACAACACAAAAACAAGTGAATACAGAACATGCACATTTGAAAGGCAGGCTGCTATTAATTACCATTTATAATTATTTTTCAGACTGAAATTAAAACCCATACAATTCCTGTTCGTAATCTATACTGGAAACAGAGCTGCTGTCATGCTCCACATGGAAATACAGCAGGGGAGATCACAGGATAAAGTCTTCTAGATTACAGATATTTATTAAACAGAAGACCATTGCATTCAGAGCTTTCTTACTCCTAAAGAAGCTGTTTCTTAACAGGTAAAACTCTGTTATTAACTCCCATCTTGTTACTGAATCATTTTTGTTTCTCATGCCTGGTTGTCTCACATCCCTTTCTCAGAAGGCTCTGCCTCTTACCTTCTTGCAGATGTGTGATTTGACCTTATGCATTAAAGTCAGAAATCTGCAGAATGAAGCCATCAAATTCTGGGAAGTCTTTATTCAGCACATGCAAGCTGATGTGTTTTGACTCTTTATATAGTGGCAGATTATTCATTTTTAAAGACAGAGAAAGAAACTTTTTATAACCTCCTAGTTTTATTGAACTTTCCCCAATCAACTGCTTCCTTCCTCTTGCTTCCCCCAAGCCCCAGGTGATAAAACCCTGCAACAGTACAAACATTCAACGTGGATGACTTCAGACCAAATGGTCACAACTTGGAAAAGATACTACATATAACTGAAAGAGTCTATTAAACTTAACTACAGCCAATACTTCATATCCTAGCCAGATCCTGAGTCCTAACCACAGTTACAGTTTAGCCAGGTGACAATGAAAGACAGTGTGCTCACTATCTGAATTAGTCTGGGTCAAAGTAGCCATCAATAAAAATCCCTCATGAGAGCCAAGCAATAGTATTTTGAAAAAATCTTTGTAATTCTTCCATACAAAGAAGGTGGGGTTTTTTGCTTTGTTTTTACCTGTATTAAACCTGGCACAATCTCTGGTAAAAGCTGAGTAAGAGTTTCTTTAGATACTCTCTCTATGACTTTTGTCTGCATTTTGATTGCAGCCAGATTAATTGGGTAATCTGCAGTCTGGATAATTGGACAAAGGACTTTGATGCACTGATCTGGGCTAATGGAAGTGGCCAGCATGGAAGCAGCTTCTTCAGCAGATCTCACCACCTATCGAAAGAATGAAAAAGACATGGAAAAATTATTTAGAAGAGTATTAGTGCCAGTACAAGTCTGGAGCATAAAAATTTCTTAACAGCTCCACAGCATTGTAAAAATAGGCAAAGGATTTTTAAATGTGTGCAATTTTGCAACTGCTGGACTACTGTACTAAAAACAAGGCTCTTCCCAACACCGTATGACTGAACTATACGTTCTGCAAGATGTGCATTGGTGTCTTCCAAAACTGCCTGAAAATACCTTCCAAACTTGACAATAGCTGTCAAATCAGATCTGAAATCTCTCTAGTCCGCAATGCTATGCAGAATATAAATACAATATTATACAATTACATATTGAAATCTCTCCACTATTGAAAGCCATAATTTCCTGTGTTGTCATTCATTACTGTCTTTGACCATTAATAAGCTTCCATGTTCATCTCAAAGACTGTTTAATGACAATCACAGATTGCTACTTCTGGAGGCTTCTCCCATCTTTAATTTAAAAAAAAAATTCAGTTAAGAGTTCTTAAGACTCTTAGGGAAGATACAGGAAAACAGTGAGTCAAAAGGTGCAGAAGCTCAGGATACAACACAGACATAAGAGGGAAAATTCATCTCTTCATATTTCTGCATCTGTGGTGTCTGGCAGCTAAAAGACAAGCTGCTAGATTATGTACAAATAACTCAGAAGTCTTTCTCTTCAACCTTGTCTTGTTTACTCTTTCTCACATGCATTAAAAAAAAAAAAAAAAAGGAGAAATAGAACAGTAATATGGAGGGACAAATGGAAAGAAAGAAAAAAATAAACATGGTGCATGAAATTAAGAGGGCGCAGGGAAAACAAAGATGAGTATCAGATGAGTGACAAACATCACTGGTATGGAAAAAACTGCAGTCAAACTTCTGAATTTGGAACTCCACCCCAAGTCCCATATACAGAAAAAGTCCTATCATAGGGAATGTGGGAGCAAGGAAAGCAGGGAGAGATTTATGCATCTCATTAGACATCTTATTTTCATAACATCAGTGACACTGATGTGAAGTGTTTAATGTTTGGGTGGTTTCTGTATTTGTGTTTCTTATATCAAAATACATCATCCTTTGATGTGTATGCACATTATCATAAGCTTTCTGAGCAAGATTACACTTATCCTACTTCTGAATCTCCTCACAGTTCCCAGCCACAACCAACTCTTCCCTGCAGTATCTCCTCTCCTGGAAACACTCAAAGCCATGCTCTCGAATGGTGAAGAAGAAAAGCTTAACTAGAGCTGGTTAAAAATGGGAAGGGATTGTAATTTCCTTGCCATGTTCAATCCTATCTCTCAACTACCAACTTTACAGAAATCCAAAGGGTTGCATTAGATAACTGGGCTAAAAAAAAACATATAACAAAAAACTCCCTTCAGTTATTCTTCATAGAACTGTGCTGGCACATCCCTGGCTGTGGTTTTACGTCCTCTTGGGCAGCACCCAAGGCAACTGTTACTAGGGCTGATATTAAGCATTTCTGAGCTTACAAAACTGTAGTTCTTTGTTTTTCTTTTTTTTGCATGCCTGTGTTAACATCTTCATTATTACACAAACGATTCATCGGTAAGATCTGATCTCTCAAACACTTTCTGGACATAACACAGCTGCTGCATTCTGTGATATTTTGTCACAGTCTCAAACAAAGAAAACTGCTTACTAACCTCCTTATGAGGATCCTTATGCGCTTCTAATGTCTTCATTATTGTGAGCTCTGCGTAATTCTTAAACCTTGCTGGCTGATTCCTTAGGATTTCTCTTAGAACTTTCAATGCCAAAGCTCTAATTGCATGCTAGAGATTAAATATTAAAACAAATGAGTTATGTAACATTGAATAGGCAAATGTTTAAGTGTTTATTCAACAGTTTATAAAGTTTTGACATAGTAAAACATCAGTGCCTTTCTATGCATATATACAATATGAAGCTAATATGGAAATAAATACAGCTAAAAAAAGTCTTTGCTCTTTTTGAAATAATTCAGGTGGTGCATCATAACCATGCTGCTAATTGGAACTATCTATGCTGAGCTGCATATAATTTTACTCTTTGGAGTATTTTAGCATCACACAGTCACACAAATACATTATCCTTGAAAACAGACATTTTATTATTATCAAATCAAAAGCAATTATTAGTGCCAAGTAAACCTGAAGGATACTTGAGAAGATGGCCTTTCACCATTAAGAGATTCAAGAGTTCACATGATGTTCCTGCATTTCCATAACTTCTTGTTTTTCAAGACTAGCTGGAATTTGTGCTTTTCCTACAACCCACACAACTTTAAAAGCCACTGAAAGCAAACCATGTGCATTTTTAACTAGATTAATCTAACTTTACCTCTTTGTCTCCAAGTGTTTCAAGCAGCAAAAGCAGTATTGTTTTGAAGTGCTCATCCCAAACACCAAAAGACTCTTCTTGAGTTAACTTCATGAGCTCATACAGGGCAGCCTTTCTTTCCTCAACTCTCTCGTTATGGTTTGATAACTCTTTTAGTAACTCTGCAACTAGATCAGAATGATCCATGGGAGGCTCTATCAAAAAAGGAATGTATACAAACAGAATTTTGAAACTTGGTAAATATTAGTAAATATTAGTGCCTGATGCAGAACTGAAAAGTATCTTCTAGGGTAGCTAACTGCTTTCTTTTTGTTTTGTTTTGTTTTCCTCCAAGTCTGTTTGCCAGAATTACAGTTTAATTACTTCATTTTCAAAGCAGCCAATATTCCAGACCAAGCTTACAATCACAACAAAACAACGATGATACAGCAAAAAACAAAAGCATCCACAAAATTGAAGAGAATCCAGCAACCTGTAGGCTGGCTTACTGCTAGAGTTTCTTGCTCCTGTAATTCAAAAGTGGCAAGTTCCCTGGATCCTTTTAAATCTGATCTATACAACACAGGGCTGCTTTTCCCATGACCTTTCCATCGAAGAAGAAAAATTCACACTTGCACCTTCAGTATTACTGTACTGGTCAGATTTTTTGTAAGCCACGACTCCACAGCAATGGCTAGGCTTTCAACACAAACAGGAAAACAAAATGCACAAGAGTGGTCCTTGATGTAAAACAGTGGAAATACAAACAAACCAAGGCTTTTAGCCTCAAAGAGATTCCAGGGAATGCCTACTATCCCAGTGGCAGTCATTACAAGATAGCACTGGATTTTAGTTTTGATTACGGAGAATTCCATGATGATGGAGAAAAGTATCAGTAGCAATTCTTATTTGGAAACACTGGACTACAGATGTGGAAATCTGCAAAGTCAAAAATAAAAGCCTTGATTCTGGTCTAATTTAAGTGGAACGTCAAGATACTGCCTTTACTCCATCATCAGGACCCTTGTAGCCTTCAAGAAATAAAAGCAGACAGCTTCTACCTTTGCACTGAGACTTTGGAATAAATTAACTTTTTTTTTTTTTTTAATTCCCCTGGACAGAGGCTGAAAGTTTTCTTTCAGGGGGTAAAGAACAGCATTAAAAACCAAGTTTTCCCAAAACTGCACCTTTCCCAAAATTATTGCACTTTATTAACACGTGAAATACACTTTTCAGAACAAATTTATTAGGTCATATACTGAGAGACTACAATTCTTAAAAACATAAGGACACGATGTGGGGTGTATTCTTTCACAGTTTGTATTTTCCATTCCTGTATATGATTTAGCTGTGGTGTTTAATTCACAAACATTCTCCAGATAAGAAAGGAGAAGTGTAAAAATGTACTTGCAACTTTTTTTTCCCCCTGAAAACAACAACAGAAATGAGTAGGAGCAAATGCAAGTGCTTCATCTGAATGAAATATGTAGCAGATACATGTAAAATATTATATATATACAAATATTTGATAAAG